AACCAGTTCTTCCAGTTTCAAAAGGATTTCTTTGCGAAGTCTATGAGAAAACAATCCTTGTCTCTTTTTACTTCTGACCTTTGTAAACACATTCCTTATGAGGTCTCAGTTGTTTATATCAAGTCTTACTGAATGCAGTATTACGTTATATTCCCCATAAGCGTCAAAGTGGATGATAAAGCAAGCCAAATTTGAGTAACTGATTTTTTAGTCAGTACCAAATCAGTCTCTGATGACTTCTCGGCATCTCAGACTGCCGATTGTTTGTTTAGAACTCAAGTGTTCTTTGAATAGCTGGAATTGCAGGGGAGCAACTGGCATCACAACTGTGAGCGGAAGGTGGGATTCACACTCTGCAAAATTCACACCACTCCAGACAAACACTATGTCCTGGAACACTGGAAAACAAATTAGAAATAAATCACTTGCTTCTTCTGGTGGCTCTATTACCACAGGAAAAGTGCTTGAAATGTGACTCAGGACAGTCATATATTGGTTTCTTTACTGTAGGCCTTGAAATAATAATGCCACAAATACAACCCTTTGAGATAAAACTTTCACGGTGTTATCGGCTGTGGGCACCAGCGAAGCCTCGACAAGAAAAAAAACAAAAAAACCCCACAGTGTTTCTAGTCCCTTCACTGATGGCTCCATCTTTGCCGAACAAGATCTTTTCCTCTTTCTCTTTCACTCTCACCTTGGGTAACTTCTCTAAAAGGACGGATGCCATCGAGACAATTATCAGACCATTATGTGTCATTATGTGTTCCCGGGTAAAATGGGAGCTATTTGAAGATGTCTGAGGGCTGTGCAAAAGGCCTGACCTGTTTATTGTCAGAGTGAATGGTTACGTCAGAGCCCGTGTCTTTGGCTAATGCTGTACCTGTCAGAGGCATCAAACCTGTGAAGCTGCAGGTACAAGGTCCAGTCATTTATAAAATCTGCCACCTGCTACTGAAAGGCACTTGCACAGCCTAATGTAACTTAATAGCACAAAGAGATAGCCACATTCAAAAAAAGAGGCTTTAACAAGCCTAATTTATTAGCAGGAGGGCTGCCTAAATGAGCTCTGCTGTATTTCCAAATGTGTTTTACACATGAAAGGAGCCAGAGTAGGTATTGTGTGAATACTAAGGGCCCACCTAAAAATATAGTGCAACCCACCAGATTGATGCACAATTGTTGCACTCACTTTCTTGGATTTTCAGTGGTAAGAAACATGATTATAACCATTAGCACACGGTCATCTTCTGGCATCATTATGGTTATTTTTCAAACTGTTCAACACTGGCAGAGTGTTCTGAACTAAAACTAGAATATAGTAGCTACAGTTTTAGTTTCATGTGATGTTGGCTCTTGGCAATATGTAACTCTGAACTTCAAAATCAACTGACATAGTCAAACCCTAAAACAGTTCAACATTATTAGGAATACGTGAAGATTAATGTCACTTCATATGGCGCTTTAGCCAAGATCCAGTCAGCTTAGCTGAGCATAAGTATTGTGCAGCAGGATTGGCTGGCTTCCCTTAGTCCTGAAGTACATAAAGTCAAACAACCAACACCTTTGCTGTTCACACACAAAAATCCTAAACACGTCATAGTGACATATTATTCTATCAGAGCACTTTGCTCTCAGACTGCAGGCTTGCTTGTGCTTCCTGCAGTTTCCAAAAGAAGAATGGGAGGCAGAGTCTTCAGCCTTCTGGTCCCTTTCCTGTGGAAGCATCAAGCTCCTTGTGTGGCTTAAGGAGACACACACTCTTGATCTTTAAGGTTAGAATTTAATTTTTCCTTTTCCTTATGTAGTCTGCAGTGAATCAGATGAGCCTAAACCATGCCTTTGTCATGCTACACTAGGCTAAAGTGGCTGGGAAACTTGCTGCTGCTATTGTCTACTGTCTCCTGTGACCTGTCCATAGTGTAGACACAGATTTCACTGTATTATGGCACATCCCAGATAGGAATGAATGCAGCTCTCTTGTGGGCCACATTTGGCCTCGACTGAGGACACTAGCTCTAAGTAAGTACGGGTTACTCTTGCTTCTACTGTTGTTGGTCCATCAGTCAGCTGTGGAGAAGAGTGACATTATAAACACAAAGAGCTGAATCGAAACCGAGCATTTAAAACAATGAAAAGTGCCCACTGCAGCCACTGCCTCCACTTCTCACACTGTATTTTTTTTTTAACTTAAACTAACGTTTTTTGCACTTCTCCCATTCCCAGTGAATTCTGCTGTCACTTCCTTCCCTGCTCTGGTCAGCTCATCAACCAATCAGGATTCAACCTACTGCTACGGCTGAAACTCCTTTCTGCAGTCTCTCTGTAAGCAAACCTACACAAACGGACAGAACTATCACCATAAGACAAGCATTTTATAGTGCCAGATACTGATCTGGCACTAGAGAGTGAGTTAGAGTGTAGTCAAAAATGACAGTGAGGAAAAATCTTTTATTTTTTATTGTTTAGACAATAAGTTTTCTTCCTGCCAGTCACGTTTAGACTTGTGCCTTCTGTGACGTCTGTGGGAAATCGAACCAGAAACCCCTTTTAACCTTCCACATGCACCTCACCAGAAATGTAATAACTTAGTTATGCTATAGGTTTAAAATGGGTTTCCACTTACATCAGATTTCCAATGTGGATTTCCCTCCGAAGTCTTAACTTTTTAGCGCTACCAGTTTGACTGGTGCAGCTTCAGATTTTTCCTTCCTTAACTCTTTTACTGCCACGCCCTGCTGTAGAGACTACTGTGAAGCAGAAAGGACTGCTGCTAACATGTATACACTGAGCACATAATTTTGGTAAAACGGATGCAGCATAATTAAAAGTCATGAACAATTCTGATGAAGATTTTCTTTTCCACACAGGTGGGAAGGTCACGCACCCTCTCCTTCCTCAATCAAATACAAGCACAGTAAAACAATACAAACTCACATAAGAATGAAAAAAACACAACACTCATTCACGAACAATTAAAGATAGAGTATAAAGTGATAGAGAGAACACTGCGTACATAAAATAGGTCACGTAGGTCAAAACAGACTCCGTTGTAATTCAACCCATGTTGCAATTTAGAGTCTGCATAACTCCTGGCCCACCTAGTTTTTTGCTGTATAGTCAGCACTGATGCATGCCTGAGTCAAATGTTTAAGAGCTTAATGGTCAGTATGAAGGTAACACCAAATGCCCAGATGAGAAAGCCGATGCTGAAGGAAAACGATGTGAAAAGAGTGCAGGACTGAGAGCCTCTTTACCAAGAGTTGGCTGTGCATCCATCTGTCTTCAAGATGATACAAGAGACATCGACAGCAAACAGAGACCACAGAAAATTACTGAAAGAAGCACGTGACCACACCCAAATATGTTCCTGCCAGCTAAATCTCAAAATGATGGAGCACAGCAGCACAGGAAATGGACCAGTCAGATATAAAGTTTATTTTCTGTGCAGTCAATGTCATGGCAGACGGCTACTTTTCTTCATGTAAACCACACAACCAAAGAGTTTCTCCTGTTCTTTTTTTAACACGTCTCACATAGCCTTGACCAGTGGCTTTAGAACAGGCTTTGTGAGACCTGTAGAAATGTGTGCATCAAGAAATATTTAAAAAATATCATTACTTTTACATTAGCATATATTTTGTTTAATCACATGCCCCAGTCTGCCTTTAGCTTTCATACTGAAGCCTGTGTGGAAGCTTGCTTTTACGATTGCTTTTTACAATTGTAACCATTATTTTGCTTGGATAAAAACTATTTTCTCTGAAAGACTAAGATTTTAAGTCCCCTGTCTTAAAATCAAACATTCTAATTTCGCAGACGTGGTGAAGGCAATACTCAGTTAAAGTGTGTGATTTAGGGATCAATTACTCATGATGTAGGTCTTGTAGAAGAAGAAGAATGCACTTTATAAACCATGCTAACCAGTAACAGCTAAAATAACAAAAAACAGTAGCATCTGTGCCATTAAGCAGAAAGAAAATAATTTTTCAGGCTTTGTGCTCATGCTACCAAAAGCAAACAAGGCTGAGCAATAATGAGATGTTCTGTTTATCTCTCCAATGCTCTATTTAGTGGTGGAGCCAGCATCTAGCAGCTCCAAATGTTTCTGTAATGGGAAAAGAGATTGAATGAGAAAACAAGCTTCATGTTCTGCAGGTGAAAACTTCAAACTAAGGGTTTCAATCCTGTTCCTCAACCAGACGGTACATGCATAATAATGAAAGTAGAGGAGTGGCAAAACATGCAGCCCCTCATTCATACTCTTGGTTCTGGGTCCAGCCAAGTGTCAAGTCAGGCGAGACATTTGGGCCACATCTGGTCCATGCTATTCACATGCCCTTTAATGCGTCAAAAACAGCCCATGGTAGGCCCATATGTGTCTGCTACCAGCGATAATTCTCAATTAATCCGTTTAATCAAATCAATACACTGCACATGCGGGAGCCTAAATATTCCAGCAGTGACTGCATGCACACACTGTATTAGAGAAAGAGGGAAATGAGGTGAACGGGTTAATTTTCTGCCATGGGGAATTAAGACATGTTCCCTGCATCCAGCTGTGTAGTAAACCCATAAGAAAAGGTAAGAAGATGAAATAAAACAAACACATATATAATATTAATAATATCTGTGGACATCTATAATTCAATAAGGTCGTGCCATCTGTAAACAATAGAAATATTTGATTTTTTTTAATACGACGACATGTGCTAGATTTTGAAGTACAATTTGCAAATAATGCTTTTGAATGTGTTCCGTTTTACTATATATCTATGGATGTGCAAGCAAAAAGAAGGCACGGAGACAGGCAGGCAGTCAGACAGACAGGTCGCTCCAGAGGTGACCGGGGAATCCTGCTCTCTCTCTGCCGGCAGACAGAGCCTCCTCCTCGGCCACTGCTCCTCCTCCCCTCCCCTCCCTCTGCCCTGGTTGCGCGTTGGGGGATCCGACGACGTCACAGCGGCACACACATTTGCACGGACGCGCGCCTGCAAGCGGACACACACACACTCACACACACACGCCCTCTCTCCTCGCTCTCTGCCGCTCCGTCTCTCTCACTCTCACTCTCCTCTATGCTGCTATTCTGGGAAGTGGCGCTTGGAATAACCCCCGTGTGCGTATGAGTGTGTGTGTGCGTGTGTATGTGTCTCCTGATTTCACCCTGACACACGCACACATACACACTCACAACACAGTCAGACGCACACATTTACTGTCTGTCTGACTGCAGGAGTGGAGCTCTGGCAGCAGAAATCCGCTCGCAGAGGATTCCTTCCAATTTTACGCGCAACTTTTCCTCGTCGGCTTCTTCTCTGCGGCGTTTCCAGCGCTCCCCCCTCGATTGTTGTGGATTTCTAACAACCACCCCCTGGCTGTTTGTAGCGGAGCGACGAGCGAAGCTCGCCCGGAATCGGATCTGCTGTCACCGGGCTGCTTGTTGTCATTTTCGCACGGAGACGCGCAGCCGGAGCGCAGACAGAAGGTAAGAGCGGAGAGGGGAAAACGAAAGCTTACGGATCATATTCTCACACACATCACAGTGACAGTGGGATTTTATGCGCCATGGTGGACATTTATGGCATCTTTTCAAGGCACTTGAGCTTTTGCTTAGCTTATAAAGGCAAGGCTATGCTGGGGGAATACCCCGGGCACGCATTGCATTGCATGCAGATTACCCAGGTTGCGTAATATCCTGAGGAATTTGCAGTAGCCTGCCCGGCCAGGCTGGTTGCAAGGCCGGGGAAGAGATAGACAGTGAGGAAGAGAGGGAGGGTACGTGTTGGTGGATAGGAAGCAATGAAAGTGGAAGCTCGGATGGTGTGTGATTGGTGTGATTTTTGCGTCCGAAGGTTGATTTGTTTTTAGCACAAACCCACGGCAGGTTGGTTTGATTAATAGACCTTCACCTGCAGTTCTCTCTGACGTTCATGTGGGACTTCTTTAATCACTCTATAGCGCGCGTGGAATGTTCAAAAGTGAGTTGAAGCTGTGACCTCCGCGCACTCTTTGGTATTTCCTTGTTGCTGCTACAGTATGATCAGTGTGACACTCCTCAGAGAGTCACAAACGACTCTTGTTGCTACAGTACCTAAGCGTTGGTTTACACTGTGCTTGCCGAAAACGAACAGGGGAACACTGGCCATTTCTTTTTCGGATGGGGGTGACTTTATCTCATATGCTCATCGTTTGTTTCCTCTGTGTATGTGTCTGTGTATGAGAGGGAGAGAGAGATGGTGGGTGGTGCGCTGGCTGGTTCCGGGAATGTTCCATGACGTGTTGCCGTATAGAGAGGGGCCCCAGCCGGGGAGACTGAGACTAACGGCTCGGCCCTGCCGCTCTTCCTGCTCTCACTCCCTCTCTCCCTCTCCCTCTGTACTCTCCTGGAAAATATGTTAGCCTGTCTTCATTTCCAAAGAAGATTTGCATTATCATCTCGTAGTGGTCATCTCTGCAGGCTGGGTTCCATTAGGTCAGAGGTCAAAGATCAGGGTCAAAAGGAACTGCATGCAACAGGTGGTAAGATCCTGCTCAAGGACACTCACAGCAGTGCACATGATTGGCAGGGTGAGGTCTGAAGTGCAGGTTTGAAACAGCTGAAGGGCAGCATGCAGCCAAGCTGCAGCCAATATGACTTTGTGGATCTCAGAGCATTTGTTTGATGTTTAATGTGTGACAGAAAGTTCAAACAAAGAGCTTCTCTTCAAAAGCATGCAGTTATCAAATAAGTAACATTTTATGATAAATTGTAAGAAAGATTAAAAAAAAGAATAAAACAAAAGTGACAGAAATTATAGATTCATAATTAATGAAAAGTAAATGTCAAATTGCAAAAGTGGAATCAATAACAATTTTATATAAATAATGCATTTGTGTGTTTTTATTATCTTTTTGTTCAGGGATGGTGGCTAATTTTAGACTACAATGGACACCATGCGCATGCTATTTATAGAAACAGTAAAAAGCTTTGGAGACTGTGAGATAATGAGAAATGTGGCAAGAATAACTGCAGATGAATGCCTCTTTTCCGCCAGTCAAAGCTGCAGAAGGAAAAAGCAGCCACAGAAGTGAGTCCTGAATGTGCTCATGGTGTTGGTGGCATTTGTAGCCTGCAGCTGAAGAGATGATTACAGTATGTATTCTGCTGTCAGGGAACATGCTGCTGACTCTGTGCGTGCACGTGTCAGTGATGGATGGATGTTTGAGAGCGTGCACGGGGGAAGGCCGACCTACGTACCATCTGTCCTACTGCCACCTCAGATGGCCATCGCGGTGTAGCTACTGCGTAGGAGCAAGCATCCAGGCACGCACACACACAAGTACACTGTTACCAGGGAGGACAGGCGTATGGAGAACATGCATGAGGTGTGAGAAGATTTTCAGCACTAAACATTCAATTAATTTATTACTTAGGCCTTGTGGGAACTCTTATGTCTTCCCAACATACAGCAAGCTACCCTTGTACAAGCAGCACGCAGCGGAGTTGAAAAGGTTCATAAAGTGCTAACAGTCCTTGGCTTAATGTCTTGGAGATTTTTTTTGACATATATCATGCTTGTGCCAGGGCTGGCACAGTTTCAGGAGCATTTTAATTTAGAAGTTGCTGTGTTAGCATTTGGGACACACCATTCTTAAGCCTATGGATAGCTCGGTGGCTTGGCCGTAACAGCGGTGTTAGCTCAAGGGCAGCTGCCTGCATGGATCAGTATGCCAGATTTAAGCAGCAGCTGTCTGGAAAGTCATTTATGTCGGCGAAGCAGTGTGAGCTTATGTAACAACAAGCTACATATGTAACAACCTACAATAACAGCGGGTAGCACAGTCACCTCACTTCAAGAAAGTTGCTAGTTCGAACCCCATCTGGGGCCTTCAGAGTGTTATTCTCCCTGTGACTGCATGGGCTCCCTCTGGGTACTCTGTTTCCTTCCTGAAGAGATGTACATTATGCTATAGTCACCCTAGGGCAACCAGTGGTTGGTGACACTAACAAAAATTATGGCAACTGTGTGCAATGAACTTGTAATCTCATTGCCTTTGAAACGGTTGCTCTGAAGAACGGGACTGGGCATGTGACCACTTGTAGTCAGTTGCCTTCTTCAACGCAATTTTAATGTGTTAACATGGAAATAAGACAGAGTTCATCTGCTATCAGTTTGCAATTGACTGGGGTCAAGTTGTCAATTACATGCAGTCTGGTTGTGTTGATACAGCAATTCACTGTTGGTGTTGACATACACAGAAATACACATTGAACAGAAATTGACGATAACTACTTCCAGGATCTCAAAGATTAGAAAATGAAACTATGAAATTCCTCCATAAATCCCAAAATAGAGTCCTGGAATTCCAACCCAAGAATTTAAAAAAATCATTTAGCTTCAATAAAGCTTTTAAATAACAGTTTTTGAAGTTATCTGTGCAATATGTGTTCGTTGCCTTTAAGTTGAGTGGTTTGTGTTTGTGATTATAAATAGACTACTTTCCTTTATTTGTCGATTCATTTATTTTTATTTTATTTTAATGTTTATTGACTCTTTGCTAAGATGTTTTCTGTGGAAGCAGTTAAATCCACAGCGAATTTCCCAAAGGAGATTATAAAATATATCATATCATAAATAGTGATACAAATGCTGCAGGATGGTGGTGACAACCAGCTGCCTAAGAGTGATCACAGTCTGTCTGAATCAGACCGCGAATGTTTGGCGACAAGTTGCTTTCCACCAGGCGACCTGTGCGATTGCCGTCAGATTGAAAGTTGCCTCCCAACTTGAGTTTGAGGTTGTTGTTTGTTCAACTTCAGGTCGACCAGTTTGTTATGATCGTGAGCGATTCACAATCAGTCACCAAAAACGAAAAAATTCAGTGCAACTTTCTTTAGTTGTAACAAGGTTGTTACAACCGACCCGGATGCTGGTCAAAGATGATGATGAATAAGATCAAGTGCTTTAAGTGTGTAGAATAAAGTGCTGTATGAATGTACGGCTAAAAATGTAATTGTTTAAAGTGCTTTGAGTGGTCAGTAAAACTAGAAAAGCACTGTATAAATTCAAGGACATTAAAATTACGTCTGGTGATGTACTGTTCTGACCTTCTCAGGCCTGATACTGATATTGAGTCTTCTTTGACTCTAACTTCAAGAAAAAGGGACGGAAATATATATTTTTCTTGTTTAACATAAAGTTTGACTAAAACAGAGAAAGAATTGTAACGAAGAAATCAATACATTTATTAATGAAATAACACGTAACAGAAACAAGATAAGAAAACTTAAACTGTGTAATGTATTTATTCTTCACTCCTTTAATTTTAGCAGACAAGTGAAAGTAAAGTGAAGATAACAGTAGTGTAAGTGCCATCAAATGTTCCCACCAAGTAATGAAAGAGAGAGGAAAGGTTGCAGACAGCGCCGTGGATACCGTTCTTCACTTGTTGCTTGTTTGATGTTAAATCACAATTAAGTCACAAACTAGCAAAAAGACACAAATGGAACTTGTTGCTGTGTGACTGGGAAGTGCCTCTAAACTGCTGACCGTTTGTTGTTAGAATCAGCACAGGACTACTATCAAAGATGCCGTTTCTCACGTGCAGCACACAGCAGGAAGTAGTCCACTTCAGACGCTCTTTCACTACAGCAGTGGGGTGCCTGGTTAGAAGGTCCGGGAGGTTGGACAAATGACACGCGCTCACTGTGAATTCTCTGGAGATTTACCCATGCCATCCTCACACGCTGACAATCAGCATCGTGCACGCTCGACACTTTCACTGGATAATGAACAGAAGAGTTAAGAGCTGTGAAAGCAGCTCGGAGTAGAGCTGCACCGAACGGGCTCAACCGCTCGGCTGTTGTCACCAGTGCCTGATGTGGGAATTTGAGTCAGACTCAGTGAAGCAGTTGATTGTGCTACTTTTCGTCATGCCGTGGTTCCTGGATGACTGGTGTTCTGTGAGGTGTTGTGGGATTTTGTGAAATCCATACATCATTGTTGAAGTATAACTGCGAAAAACATTATGAATGACTTGCAAATTCACTGCGTCTCTCCTTTTTTTAAAACTCATTTCCCCTAAAAAGCCTCTGTCACAGAAAAAACCCAGGCTGCTTGTGCAGTTTCCAGGTGATGGCATGGCTCATCAAAGGCCTTTGCAAACACGGTAAACAGCTTGTTTCTTTTGTGGGGCAAATTACAACTAACCACAAGTGTGACCCACCACCTAAAGGAGAAATTACCTATAGACAGTATTGCAAAAGCTATTGTGGAGGCTCTTGAATGATAACATATGGCATGTAGCTCAAAAGGCACTTGTGAAACTAAACATCCCTTCAACTGCTTCAAAAGAGCACTGGATATGAACCAGAAGAACAATGTGTGGAAGTGTCTGATAAGAAGATATAGGTCCAGATTCCACTGAAGGGCTGTCAAAAGTGGCTGCAAATGACAATACAATCAAAGAAGACCAGATCAGATAAGCGAGGGGCTACTTTATTAT